GACAAGACCACTCTGCAGGTTGTTGTATTGGATCACACATTGGACACTTATTATTATTACTATTGGGTTGTGGTTAATATTATTATTATTATTATTATTATTTGAAACACAACAAGATGAGTCCACAGCAGACAAGACCACTCTGCAGGTTGTTGTATTGGATCACACGTCGGACACTTATTATTATTACTATTGGGTTGTGGTTAATATTATTATTATTATTATTATTATTATTATTATTATTTGGAACACAACAAGATGAGTCCACAGCAGACAAGACCACTCTGCAGGTTGTTGTATTGGATCACACATTGGACACTTATTATTATTACTATTGGGTTGTGGTTAATCTTATTATTATTATTATTATTATTTGAAACACAACAAGATGAGTCCACAGCAGACAAGACCACTCTGCAGGTTGTTGTATTGGATCGCACATTGGACACTTATTATTATTACTATTGGGTTGTGGTTAATATTATTATTATTATTATTATTATTATTATTATTATTATTATTATTTGAAACACAACAAGATAAGTCCACAGCAGACAAGACCACTCTGCAGGTTGTTGTATTGGATCACACATTGGACACTTATTATTATTACTATTGGGTTGTGGTTAATATTATTATTATTATTATTATTATTATTATTATTATTATTATTATTGAAACACAACAAGATGAGTCCACAGCAGACAAGACCACTCTGCAGGTTGTTGTATTGGATCACACGTCGGACACTTATTATTATTACTATTGGGTTGTGGTTAATATTATTATTATTATTATTATTATTATTATTATTATTATTATTTGGAACACAACAAGATGAGTCCACAGCAGACAAGACCACTCTGCAGGTTGTTGTATTGGATCACACGTCGGACACTTATTATTATTACTATTGGGTTGTGGTTAATATTATTATTATTATTATTATTATTATTATTATTATTTGAAACACAACAAGATGAGTCCACAGCAGACAAAATCACTCTGCCGGTTGTTGTATTGGATCACACATTGGACACTTATTATTATTACTATTGGGTTGTGGTTAATATTATTATTATTATTATTATTATTTGAAACACAACAAGATGAGTCCACAGCAGACAAGACCACTCTGCAGGTTGTTGTATTGGATCACACGTCGGACACTTATTATTATTACTATTGGGTTGTGGTTAATATTATTATTATTATTATTATTATTATTATTATTATTTGAAACACAACAAGATGAGTCCACAGCAGACAAGACCACTCTGCAGGTTGTTGTATTGGATCACACATTGGACACTTATTATTATTACTATTGGGTTGTGGTTAATCTTATTATTATTATTATTATTATTTGAAACACAACAAGATGAGTCCACAGCAGACAAGACCACTCTGCAGGTTGTTGTATTGGATCGCACATTGGACACTTATTATTATTACTATTGGGTTGTGGTTAATATTATTATTATTATTATTATTATTATTATTATTATTATTATTATTATTATTTGAAACACAACAAGATAAGTCCACAGCAGACAAGACCACTCTGCAGGTTGTTGTATTGGATCACACATTGGACACTTATTATTATTACTATTGGGTTGTGGTTAATATTATTATTATTATTATTATTATTATTATTATTATTATTAGAAACACAACAAGATGAGTCCACAGCAGACAAAATCACTCTGCCGGCTGTTGTATTGGATCACACATCAGACGCTTATTATTATTATTAGTATTGGGTTGTTGTTATTATTATTATTATTATTATTATTATTATTATTATTATTATTATTTGAAACACAACAAGATGAGTCCACAGCAGACAAAATCACTCTGCCGGCTGTTGTATTGGATCTCACATTGGACACTTGTTATTATTACTATTGGGTTGTTGTTGTTGTTGTTGTTATTATTATTATTATTATTATTATTATAATTAACACAACAAGATGAGTCCACAGCAAACAAGGTCACTCTGCTGGCTGTTGTATTGGATCACACTTTGGACACTATTATTATTATTTGGAACACAAGATGAGTCCACAGCAGACAAGACCACTCTGCAGGTTGTTGTATTGGATCACACATTGGACACTTATTATTATTACTATTGGGTTGTGGTTAATATTATTATTATTATTATTATTATTATTATTATTATTATTATTATTATTATTTGAAACACAACAAGATGAGTCCACAGCAGACAAGACCACTCTGCAGGTTGTTGTATTGGATCACACATTGGACACTTATTATTATTACTATTGGGTTGTGGTTAATATTATTATTATTATTATTATTATTTGAAACACAACAAGATGAGTCCACAGCAGACAAGACCACTCTGCAGGTTGTTGTATTGGATCGCACATTGGACACTTATTATTATTACTATTGGGTTGTGGTTAATATTATTATTATTATTATTATTATTATTATTATTATTATTATTATTTGGAACACAACAAGATGAGTCCACAGCAGACAAGACCACTCTGCAGGTTGTTGTATTGGATCACACATTGGACACTTATTATTATTACTATTGGGTTGTGGTTAATCTTATTATTATTATTATTATTTTTGAAACACAACAAGATGAGTCCACAGCAGACAAGACCACTCTGCAGGTTGTTGTATTGGATCACACATTGGACACTTATTATTATTACTATTGGGTTGTGGTTAATATTATTATTATTATTATTATTATTATTATTATTATTATTATTATTTGAAACACAACAAGATGAGTCCACAGCAGACAAGACCACTCTGCAGGTTGTTGTATTGGATCACACATTGGACACTTATTATTATTACTATTGGGTTGTGGTTAATATTATTATTATTATTATTATTATTTGAAACACAACAAGATGAGTCCACAGCAGACAAGACCACTCTGCAGGTTGTTGTATTGGATCACACGTCGGACACTTATTATTATTACTATTGGGTTGTGGTTAATATTATTATTATTATTATTATTATTATTATTATTATTATTATTATTATTATTTGAAACACAACAAGATGAGTCCACAGCAGACAAGACCACTCTGCAGGTTGTTGTATTGGATCACACATTGGACACTTATTATTATTACTATTGGGTTGTGGTTAATCTTATTATTATTATTATTATTATTTGAAACACAACAAGATGAGTCCACAGCAGACAAGACCACTCTGCAGGTTGTTGTATTGGATCGCACATTGGACACTTATTATTATTACTATTGGGTTGTGGTTAATATTATTATTATTATTATTATTATTATTATTATTATTATTATTATTATTTGAAACACAACAAGATGAGTCCACAGCAGACAAGACCACTCTGCAGGTTGTTGTATTGGATCACACATTGGACACTTATTATTATTACTATTGGGTTGTGGTTAATATTATTATTATTATTATTATTATTTGAAACACAACAAGATGAGTCCACAGCAGACAAGACCACTCTGCAGGTTGTTGTATTGGATCACACATTGGACACTTATTATTATTACTATTGGGTTGTGGTTAATATTATTATTATTATTATTATTATTATTATTATTATTATTATTTGAAACACAACAAGATGAGTCCACAGCAGACAAGACCACTCTGCAGGTTGTTGTATTGGATCACACATTGGACACTTATTATTATTACTATTGGGTTGTGGTTAATATTATTATTATTATTATTATTATTTGAAACACAACAAGATGAGTCCACAGCAGACAAGACCACTCTGCAGGTTGTTGTATTGGATCACACATTGGACACTTATTATTATTACTATTGGGTTGTGGTTAATATTATTATTATTATTATTATTATTATTATTATTATTATTATTTGAAACACAACAAGATGAGTCCACAGCAGACAAGACCACTCTGCAGGTTGTTGTATTGGATCACACATTGGACACTTATTATTATTACTATTGGGTTGTGGTTAATATTATTATTATTATTATTATTATTATTATTATTGAAACACAACAAGATGAGTCCACAGCAGACAAAATCACTCTGCCGGCTGTTGTATTGGATCACACATCAGACGCTTATTATTATTATTAGTATTGGGTTGTTGTTATTATTATTATTATTATTATTATTATTATTATTATTATTATTATTATTTGAAACACAACAAGATGAGTCCACAGCAGACAAGACCACTCTGCAGGTTGTTGTATTGGATCACACATTGGACACTTATTATTATTACTATTGGGTTGTGGTTAATATTATTATTATTATTATTATTATTTGAAACACAACAAGATGAGTCCACAGCAGACAAGTCACTCTGCTGGCTGTTGTATTGGATCACACGTCGGACACTTCCCAAGTGTCTAGGACTGTGTGATGTATCAGCGTAGAATGCATGCCATGTCCCAGAAGCATTCTCTCCTGACGTTTCACCCACATCTATAGCAGGCATCCTCAGAGGTTGTGAGGTCTGTTGGCCCAGTCCTGGGAATTCATCTTTTGGCTGATGTTGATATGGAGGTGCAACAGTTCCTTGTCTGTGTTTGCGAGTTCTTTGCGGATGGTTTTCCCAATTTTTGTGTGCCTTGGAACAGTTTCTCCCCGTAGAGATGTTCAATGTATTGACATCTATGGCAAGCATCCTCAGAGGTTGTGAGGTCTGACAAGGAACTGTTGCACCTCCATATCAACATCAGCCAAAAGATGAATTCCCAGGACTGGGCCAACAGACCTCACAACCTCTGAGGATGCCTGTCATAGATGCAGGCGGAACGTCAGAAGAGAATGCTTCTAGAACATGTCCTACAACAACCCAGTTAATTGACTTGTTAACTAATATCTGGCCAATATCTAAATGTGGGATGCAAGGCAACCTAAACAAATAACGACAGGTGTTCAGGATTCGCGTTGGTTTGGGGACTTTGTGAATCAACATCATTTTTTTTTCTGTATGTTTAGGCACAGGAGAATCCAGAAGTTTCTTCTGATCCTACCAGCAATGTCTATGAGGTGAGCAGAAGCCATTATTATTATTATTATTATTATTATTATTATTATTATTATTATTATTATTAGAAACACCACAAGATGACTCCACAGCAGACACTCTGCTGGCTGTTGAATTGGATCACACGTCGGACCCTTCCCAAGTGTCTAGGACTGTGTGATGTATCGGCGAATAATGCATGCAGATCCCAGTAAGGTGGCCTTCTGCAGCTGACAGGTGGTAATTTTGTCAGCGCCAATTGTGTTTAAGTGCAGGCCAAGGTCTTGAGGCGCTGCACCCAGTGTGCCGATCACCACTGGGACCCCCTTGACTGGCTCGTGCCAGAGTCTTTGCAGTTCGATCTTTAAATCCTCATATCGTGTCAGCTTTCCCTAGTCCTCTTTGGGGAGATGGTGACGGGTATAAATAAAGATTATTTTTATTGGGTTGTTGTAAGTTTTTTCGGGCTATATGGCCATGGTCTAGAGGCATTCTCTCCTGACGTTTCGCCTGCATCTATGGCAAGCATCCTCAGAGGTAGTGAGGTCTGTTGGAACTAGGAAAAAGGGTTTATATATCTGTGGAATGACCAGGGTGGGACAAAGGACTCTTGTCTGCTGGAGCTAGGTGTGAATGTTTCAACTGACCACCTTGATTAGCATATAATGGCCTGACAGTGCCATTTGATGCTACACAGCGAAGCCATTGAAACCCACAAGCATGTGGACAATTTCAATAGAAAGGAGAAAACCATGAAAATGAACAAAATCTGGCTATCAGTATTAAAAAAAACCTCTAAAATTAGAACAGCAAAACAACAGAGGGGAAACAAACAAGGACATCTAATCACCTCTCAACAAAAGTTTGCTCCAGGCACTGTCAGGGCATGATATGCTAATCAAGGTGGACAGCTGAAACATTCACATCTAGCTCCAGCAGACAATAGTTCTTTGTCCCACCCTGGTCCTTCCACAGATATATAAACCCATTTTCCTAGTTCGAACAGACCTCACTTCCTCTGAGGATGCTTGCCATAGATGCAGGTGAAACGTCAGGAGAGAATGCCTCTAGACCATGGCCATATAGCCCGAAAAAACCTACAACAACCCAGTGAGTCCAGCCATGAAAGCCTTCGACAATCCATACTTTGTTTTTTAACACGATTGTGAGGTCAGGAGTCTTGCACTCCAACATGCTGTCTGTTTGAATGCGGACGTCCCAGAGGAGTTTGGCATGTTCATTCTCTGTAACTTTTTCAGGCTTGTGATCCCACCCTTTCTTTGAGCAGGCAGATAGTATTTGTGGCACAAGTTCCAATGGATCATCCTAGCAACGGTGTTGTGCCTCTGCTTGGAGTCTGTCCGTGATCTTCTTGCAGCAGCTGAGGATGGGATCTATTGTTTCATCTCTTTCCTTGCAGAGTCTACACTTGGGATCTGTCGTTGACTTTTCAATTCTGGCTTGGATGGCCTTGGTTCGAATGGCTTGTTCTTGGGCTGCCAGAACCAGGCCCTCCTTTGTCTCCTTTTTCAAAATTCCATTTGTGAGCCACAGCCATGTTGTTTCTTTCTCAATTTGGCTCTCAATGTTTCCCAGGAACTGTCCATGGAGAGAGCCTTCTTTGGCCAGTTTTCTCTTCTGCTCTGGATTGCGTTCTTACGGTATTCGCTCTTTGTCTTTTGCACTTGAAGCAGTTTTCTACTCTTGACTTCCCTCCATGTTGTTGGTTCATCATCTGCCAGGCCATGTTTCTCTTCTTCTACCCTTTGTTTCCCTTTCAGAATCCCTCTTCTCTCTGCCTCCTGATCTTCTGGGCAGGTCAAGTCTGTCAACATCACTACGCGGGTGTCACGAGGAGTGGATTGTGATCAGTTGTCTTGTTTTTCTGTCCAGATCCTCCATCTCTGCTTGTGTCCTGTTCACAATCATAGCCGTGTATCTAATTACGGGGATTGTGCCGTTACGCCCAGACGCTTTAAAATAAAACTTTGACGTGCTGCTATCTATGTCTGGGCGAAACTGCTGGGGTCTTTCTTTAGGCAGATTGAGCTTTCTGGAATAACCGAGTCCACTTCAATTTTAAACATTAAACAGGGTATTTATTAACAAAGTCCTTGTAGACTTGGCTCAGCTTATTAATGTTACCAAACAATCAATGAATAATAAATTGCATCTATATTAATACACTCTATCTATATTCAGTTAAACTCAATTACTCTATCTATCATTAGGCCTGGGCGGTTTCGTTCGTTAATTTTGTAATTCGTTAAATATTCGTTAATTTTAGCAATTACAAAACGATTACAAAACTTATTTTTAAACCCGGAAGTGTTTTTAAATATCGAAACGGCATGCGCCAAATAGTTTTGTATTTCCGTCCATTTCGGAAATATGTAAGATGGCTTGGCTAGATGCTTGCTGGGAGCGGAGGAGGAGGAGGAGGAGGAGAGGGCGGGGAAGGCGCCGGCTGAGCAAGCGAGCGAGAGGGCGAGCGACCCTCAGCGGGAAGGCAGCCCGTCCCTCCTTCCTCACCTTTGCGGTGGGTGTGCTTCGTTCTCCCAATTCCGCACTGAAACCTTAGCGGAGGGCTGGGCTAGATGGCCTTTGGGGAGCCCCTTCTCCCAATTCCGCATTGAGACCATAGCAGTGGGCGGGACTAGATGGCCTTTGGGGAGCCCCTTCCTCCAATTCCGCATTCAAACCTTAGCAGAGGGCTGGACTAGATGGCCTTTGGGGACCCCCTTCTCCCAATTCCGTACTGAAACCTTAGCTTCGGAGGAGCCGGGCCTGACTCGGCGGCAGCGCTTGAGGGCCCGCCAGAGTGAGTGCCTGCCTTCCCTCCTTAATAATAATTTCTCCTCCCTATTCTACTAAATTAATAATTAAATTAAAAAAATATTGGAAAAAAAAGGGCGCCATCTTTACAAAATGTTTTGTAAATATTAACGAAATTTCGTAAATACCGAACTTTTTAAGGGAAAATTTTGTAATTATTTTAAATATCGAAACAAAAAAAACCCCAAATACAAATCGATTTTAGAAACAAATTTTTGCGTTGTTACTCAGGCCTACTATCTATGTATCTATCTATCGGTCTCAATTAAACTAAATTAATCTATTATACTAAATTACTCAATAAATCTATCTATAACTAAATTAAACTCAATTGTTTTTACAATGATATTTTCTGAGGTACCTGTCTGCCAACAGCACATCATGGATTCTTCCTAAAACTGAAGGGGCAGGGAGACCTCCAAAATGGCTGCTTCTATCCTGGAAACAGGGGCGGGCCCAAAGAGCTACTCTTTGGCCAATTATTGCAGAGGGCCTGAAAACTGGCTTTCCTGCCTCTGGCTGCTAACTTTTTAGGCCTTTGCAGAGGCTGCAGAGGCCTAGGCGAAAGGCAAGGGGCAACCAATTTAAGCAACCCAAAAAGACAATAAACCCAGTCTCCTGGGAGACAGAACAGGGATGGCCCAGGGGTTGAGAGCCTGGATCGTATTTCCGCCATTTCATTTGCTCTTCAAAACCTTTCTGACTCTTTGGAGATATTCTTTGATGACCACATTTTCCACATGCCAATGCTTGGTCTTGTCCAACTGTAGTATGCCCAGATATTTATAGGCTGCTGGCTGATTGTGAAATGGCAGGGAAAGACTTCAGGAAAGGGAGAGATAATACCAAGAGACATCCTTTCTGGAGATAGAAAAGAACGACTTTATTTCCAGCTGGCGACTCTGGTGGGACTCGTGTCCCAAAAGCAAAACCAGAGCACCCGATCAAGGGGCTGACTGCCCTTTTATAGGTTTCAGAATCAAGCAAACAAAGAAACATGCTAGTACATACATATTGTCATTCCTACGTCATTTTGGCATCAAATTGTATCTCCTAACATGCAAAAACATGTCTCTGTGTCTAGCTGAAGAGCAGGCATTTTGCAGTCATCCATCAAGGGGCCCTCTGACCTGTCAAGAGGTGCTCCTTAGTACCAGTCCGTTGCTCCTAGTATGGGCTTCTCGGACAGGCTTATCTCTCTTCTGGAATGCATGCCCCCCTTCCTCTTGGCTGTGCCTGGGATGTAGCCTGCTTGTCAGCTTGGGTTTCTTACAGAGAGAGAGATTTTTCTATGCATTTAAAGTACATATGATTTTTATGCATAAAGAAATCAATAAATATCTATTTTGCCAATATCTCCTCATCAATTGCACTTTATGGTTTGTCCATTTGGCATCTCTATGCCCTTGCTTTTATTTATATTGTTATTATTATTATTATTAATAATAATAATAGTAATAATAATAGTTTTATTATTGGCATTGGGTTGTTGTGAGTTTTCCGGGCTGCCTGGCCATGTTCCAGAAGCATTCTCTCCTGACGTTTTGCCTGCATCTCTGGCAGGCATCCACAGAGGTTGTGAGGTTTGTTGGAAACTAAGAAAATTGGGTTTATATATCTGTGGAATGATGTACAAGGTGAGAGAAGGAATGAACTCTTGTCTATTGGAGGCAAGTGTGAATGTTCCTTTTTTATATTTTATTTTATTTCAATATTTTTAATATTTATTTGTGAATGTTTCAGTTGGTCACCTTGATTAGCATTTAATGGTCTGGCAGGTTTGGCTTCTTACTGCCTTTCAAGAGGAATCCTTTGTTGGGAGGTGTTAGCTGGCCTTGATTGTTTCTTGTCAGGAATTCCCCTGTTTTTGAGTGTTCTTCTTTATTCACTGTTATGATTTTAGAGTTTTTTAAATACTGGTAGCCAGATGTTCTTTTTTTCCATGGTTTCTTCCTTTCTGTTGAAATTGTCCACATGCTTGTGCATCCACACTGTAGAATTGATAAACTGCCATGGCTCAATACTATGGAATCCCGAGAGTTGTAGTTTTGCAAAGAGTGGAGGTGCATCACCAATTATTGAAAAAGAGACAATTGGGAGGAAAGTAGACTGAAGCTTCTTCCACCTCGAAGTCACTGCAATGGATAACCAACAGTTGCAACATGAGTAACAGCTGGCACAAAACAGAATGTTTTGGATCAGACCTTAGCTGGGATCCCATAGCATTGAGCCACGGCAGTTCAAATGGGGACATTCATTCTACAGTGGAGATGCAGCCGTTGTCCTGATTTTTAGTGTTGGAAGGTATGCAATTGTGTCGTTTCTATTCTGTCTTTTCAGGCCTTGCAGAACCAAAGCCCCTGTGTCTATGAAGAGATCAAGCTACCCTAATGGATGGAGCAACCATCATCTCCTTTGCTACTTTGACTTGGACTATGGAGTCAATTTTCCCATTTCATTATCTGACTGCAAGCTGGATTCAATGTCTTCCATTGAAAGCACCCAAGCATGGCTATTGGCTACGTCTACATTGTGTATGGGACACTGGGAAAGAGTGCAAACGACAACTCCCAGAATTGTACAGCATTGCACCATGGCAGATCAAATGCGGTCAAACTGCATTCCTTCTATGGCATAGATATACTCTCAGACTGTAGGATCTATATAGCAATATTAAATAACCACTCACAAGTTGGTTCTGCTTTGAAATGGATATATTGCTTGTATCTCTGCAGCAAAGAAAGACACTACTGACTTTTTTCCCACCACCACTTCCTTTTATACAACTTTCCTGCCCATTTCCCCCCTCTTCTCAGTTTCCTTATTAGAACTTGTTGCTTCACAAGTTCCAATGCAAGGTTTCCAGCATCCTTTGCTGGCTTCAAATTATCAGAGAGAGAGAATTGATTCAGCCAGGATGATTCAGTCAGGATGTCACGGAGGGAATTTGTGATGTCTTCATGCCGTCAGAAATTGACTCCTGACACTTACCTTGTCCTTACCCTCTTATATGTTTTTTTGGTATTTATTTACTAGCCATCCCCTGCCATGCATTGCTATGGCTCAGTCTGTGTATGTGTGTGTGTTTGTGTATATGTGTACATATTAGGCTTGGTTGATCAAGAAAAAAATGGTTCTAAACTCGTTTTGTATATAGGGGGCGCTGGCAGTTCGATTTTGAAATTATTTCCGAAATTTTCTTTTAAAAAAGATAGGAAATACCAGGAAATACGAATCGCTTCCTTTGTTTCGTTAATGGAAGGTGCCCCTCCCTCCCTCCAGAACCATTAAAATATTGCAATTTCCCTTCCTTCCCTTGCTGCGAGCTTCCATGCAGAAGGGAGAGGTGGGCTTGGTCAAGCACAGCTCTCCTTGGAGGCCTCGCCCCCAGTGACCTCCAAGGAGGGCTGTGCTTGGCCACGCCCACCTCTCCCTTGCATGGAAGCTTGCCAGGGAAGCAGAAGGAAAGATGAGAGATTTTAAAACTAACACTTTTAAAATCTCTCATCTTTCCTTCCCTTCCCTGGCAAGCTTCCATGCAAGGGAGAGGTGGGCATGGCCAAGCACAGCCCTCCTTGGAGGTCGCTGGGAGTGTGACCTTCAGGAACAGCTGTTCTTACCCACACCCACCTCCTTCCTCTTTGCATCGGCGGCGCAGGGGAATGAGGTGGGCGTGGCTATGCCCAGCTCTTCCGCACCGCTTGTCACCAGGGAGGTAGCCACGCCCACCTCGCAAAGCCCACCTTGCAAAGCCGCCGATGCAAAGAGGAAGGAGGTGAGCGTGGGTAAGAACAGCTGTTCCTGAAGGCCACACCCCCAGCATTTATGATTCACTGCCAGAAGTCATAAGGAAGATGGTGGACGTAGCTTCGATATGGCAAAAATACTTCCAGGTTGCCAAAATGCATCGATATCGCTTCTAAAGGTATTTTATTTATGATTTCTTAACAAGATTAGAAATTAATGAGCTGGATCAACCAAGCCTAGTACATATGTATGTTTAGATATTAGGGCTGGGCGGTTTCGTTTCGTAATTTCGTAATTCGTTAAAAATTCGTTATTTTTTTTATAACGAAGCGATAACGAACCATTCAGGAGCATCTAAAAAACGAAACGAATTTTTCAATTCATTTCGTAATTGCTTCGTATTCGTTTCGAAATCGTTTCGAAATCGTTTCGTTATTATTTCCGCATGTCTGGGGCAAGTTTTATAGCTGTTGTTTGTTTAATCAGTGAAAAAAATTATAAATATCACACCAACAGTCAACAACAGAGGGAGAGGGAAGCTTCAGAAGTTCCCCCTGTCCCATATGGAGGTTTTTTAGCGTATTGCGCGGTCGCGTCCGCCATTAACGAATCGATTCGTATTCGTTTCGTATTCGTTTCGTATTGTTTTGTAATTTTACGAAATTTCGTAAATATCGAACTTTTTTAAAGAAAAATTTCGGAATTCTTTTAAATATCGAAACGCAAAAAACCCCAAAAAACGAATCGAGTTTAGAAACAAATTTTTCCGTGGTTGCCCAGCCCTATTAGATATGTATATGTATATTGTGTATATGTGTGTGCTCATATATATGCATATATGATTCCCTGCCATCCTGTGGGAGGAGGAGGGGGGGCAGCTTTTTGGCTGGCAGAGGGGCCAGGCAGCCATTCTGAGGATGCGGAGGTGGCAGGGCCAAAAGTGGTGGTCGTGGCGACCCCTCGGAAATGGCCAATCGACCCCTCTGGGGGTTGCGACCCCCAGGTTGAGAACCGCTGCTTTAAGCTATAAGACAAAAAAGCCAAGGGAATTAAAGAGAAATGAGAATAAAATGCACGTTTGCAACCTTATAGTGTCTCTTCAGTTTTATTTGCAAGCAAAGCCATATCATTGCATGGCCTACCAAGGCAGCAGCAGATGTTTTGGAGATGAGTTTCTCAACTGGAACCTGGACGACATCGATAGGATTTTCAATTCTCGGACCTTTCCGCATATTCTCCTTGTTTGCCGGTTGTCGGGTTTTTTTTCTATATTCGCTTCGTAATGCGTTATCCATCAAAATGTTTCAGGCAACCTAAACATGCATTAATTATGCAAAATATGCATTAAGGAAATCCAGTGAAGGGTTAGTCCTCTATAGAGCTCTGATGGAAATCCATAGTGGATTAACTAGGATGGAATAGAACCATGGATTCAAATGCAGGAAAGATTCCACGACAGAGCTTTTCATTAGTGGGATACAGACCATCTTGGAATCCAATGGAGTCTCCTTCTCTGGAGGCTTTTAAATAGAGGCTGGATGGCCATCTGTCAGGAGGGTTTCAATGGTTCCTTTGTGCCTGGCAGAACAAGGTTGGACTGGATGGCCTTTGGGGTCCCTTCCCACTCTGTGATCCTATAGTTCTAACTAGAGGTATGCAACTTGGTAAAGCCTATGCCATTTTTTCCCATTCTGTTTACTGGGAAATTCCCACAATCGGGAGCAAAGTTCTGTTTTTCTTTCAGTAGGATTCCGTCAATTGGCGCCAATGGGAAAACTTTAAAGCAGGCATGGGCTAACTTTGACCCTCCAAGTGTTTGCACTTCAACTCCCACAATTCCTAACCGCCAGTAGGCTGTTAGGAATTGTGGGAGTTGAAGTCCAAAACACCTGGAGGGCCGAAGTTTGCCCATGCCTGCTTTAGAGGCTTGTTTCTCAACCATTGTTAGGCCTATGAGCATGAAACTCATTTCCATTGTAGGTCACATTTACAACTGCAAGTCTGCCAAGTTTCAGAACATTTCACCAATCCGCTGATTTTTGGGAAATTTTAAAAGTTTTTACCATTACATTAAAAAAATACAAGAGGGGATTCTGGGGGTTGAAGTCCCAAGCAAACATCGCAAGAGGGGAGGAGAATGAAATAAAATAAAATCAATCCAAAACACTTCTAGTCCTCAAGCTTTTCGTATTAGTAGTAGTAGTAGTAGTTGTTGTTGTTGTAATACTTCTACCACATTTTTCTTTCCCAAAGGACACACAAAGTGACTAAGAGTAAAAAATCATAACAATGTGTATATTAAAACCTAACACATATAAGCACTGAAATAGAATTAAATATTAAAAATACATAGTTTAAACCAATAAAACCATTACATGTTCAATGTATCTCTATCTCTATCTATCAATCAATCAAACATTCTACTATTGATCTATCTTCGGCTGCCTCTCACCAGGCTCATTTCCAGTGATTTGGCAGCGAAATCCCACGAATCCTGTACACAAAACTAATATCGTGCACACCCCTAGTTCTAAACCTCCACTGATATGTGACCCTAGGCTCTGAAGCCTCCAAATTTTGGAAAGGCGTCCATAATCTTTTGAGAAAAGGATGAATTTTGAGTTTGTAACCTTTTGGAAAACCAGAATCTCCATAGCCTTTTGGAAGTGTGATCTTTTGGGGATCAATTGGCATTCACGCCATTTGGAACATCATAACCTTTTTGTAAAGTATGTGTCAGACTGTAGGATCTATATAGCAATATTACATAACCACTCACAAGCTGGTTCTGCTTTGAAATGGATATATTGCTTGTATCTCTGCAGCAAAGAAAGACACTACTGACTTTTTCCCACCACGACTTCCTTTTATACACCTTTCCTGCCCATCTCCCCCTCTTCTCAGTTTCCTTATTGGAACCTGTTGCTTCACAAGTTCCAATACAAGGTTTCCAGCACCCTGTGCTGGCTTCAAAATATCACAGAGAGAGAACTGAGTCAGCCAGGATGATTCAGTCAGGATGTCACGGAACAAATTTGTGATGTCTTCATGCAGTCAGAAATTGACTCCTAACAGTATGATCTTCCTGAGAAAAGCTAAAAACCCGTTTGAGTGATTCTTCTCTTTAGTGTAAATAAATATCCACTAGCATTCATGCAAGGCAATTTAGGTTTCTCAGTTGTTAGACTGATATACCTGGATATCTCTTTGAACTGTCAGGAACAAAGATTATGCCAATGCACAAAATATATAGCAGATCTTCAGAAGTGTTATTTCAGTTGCCCCCCCAAAAAATCTAGTCTCCTTTAAAACATTTTGGTTTAAATCATGCTCCCAAGAGACAAAAATAAGTACTCTTTGTTAAAGGTAACATTGTTGGTTTATTCACAACATTCATGTGTTGTGATCATCAAGTTTGGCATTATCATCAAGTTTGCAGACAACACCAAATTGGGGGGGAGAGCCAAGACTCCAGAGGACAGGAGCAGCATTCAAAACGATCTTGACAGATTAGAGAGATGAATGGCCAAAACTAACAAAATGAAGTTCAACAGGGACAAATGCAAGATACTCCACTTTGGCAGGAAAAACGAAATGCAAAGAGACAGAATGGGGGACGATGAGGCCTGGCTCGAGAGCAGTACGCGTGAAAAAGATCTTGGAGTCCTCGTGGGGAGGAACATGAGCCAGGAATGTGATGTGGTGCCAAAAAAGCCAATGGGATTTTGGCCTGCATCAAGAGGAGCCTAGTGTCTAGATCTA